ACAGCCAGGCTCCGAGCCAAGTCCCATGTCAGAGGGTGAAGAGATTACATCCAGCCAGTCACAGTCAGAGAAACAGGACTACACTGAAAAACAGGCCATCTATAAACAAAGGTGTTGATGGCAGCAGCACAGCTGATATTTCTCTCCAGGATGGTGCAGGTTTTATTATGCAGGTAATAGGCAAAACATTCTATTGGGGGGGGAAGGAGAAGTATGAACTATATTGTTTGTTGAATCCCTTTTAGATCAATTACATCAATTATCCTTTTTTTTAGTAGCAGTGACTTTCCTCTTTTAAGAAATGTTAAGATTTAATCTAAATTGTACGCTTTTTTCTGCTACAGAACATTTTTATATAGCTCTTTTCCTGATTTCTCTAGTATAAAAAAATGAAATCCATCTTAATCTCTAGTTTTCCATCAAATCACTGAAAGTTTTGTATTAAATATGACTCTGGAGAATTTTATCATTCCATCAGAAGAAAAAAGTTACACCAGGTGCATAATTATCCCACATCCTGATGCTGCCACTACCGTGTTGTATCACTGCCAAGCTGTTCTTTTTGGCCATTCTTTGCATATTAAGAAAACATTTTTGAAATCAAGGACATTAAAAACCCAAGGAGTGGCTACATCAGACCAGAACACATTAAGCCAAACGGTTTTGGCAGATTTAACCTCTTAGTCAGACATCCGAAGAATACGGAGAATGTTGTCACGTTGAGCGCAACCACTGCAAGGCAGAAATTCCTGCAGCTCTTTCAGTGTTGCTGTTGGTGTCTGGCATCTTGATTGTCTCCCTAACCAGTTTTTCTTATTTTTTTCATCAATTCTTTTATTAACATCCTTTTTTTAAATTGAGTAAGAACTTTGATAGATGACATAAACGTTTTTAAATCATTGTTTTACTGGGATAAGGATACTTTTTTCAAACCTGTTCCTTCATTGCACTGAAATGTGACCCGGCTCCCTAATTTCCTTCTGCCACTGAAACCACTAGTGTTGAGCTACGTTTCTCCTGTTTCAGTTTTTGTACACATTGTGTCCTACATCAGGCACACAAACAGACAGCAAAGGTCATTAATGTTTCATTAGATTTCCTCAGAAATATTTAAACACCTGCTGCTTTCCAGCTTGTGAAAAGCAGTCTTTCAGCATAGCTGCGAGTTATATCACCTATATCTGTTCAGCTACTCATTGATTCTATATTTGGTTTGTTACAGGATAATAAATAGATGCAAAGTGGTAGGTATGCTTTGAACAGCTGCTGCACAAAAAGAGCTGGACAGAAAACAGAATCCTGATATCTGTCCAGCAGAGGGCACCCAAACCACTTCATGACCAAACTTCCTGTCACTGTTTGCTGCAACCTTATATCTTGCAAAGATATTTAGTCATTTTATAGGGGCTTTTTTGGGGTGAAAACACACAGAAAACAGTGCATAACTGTGTAGTGGATGAACAATAATAGATCAGTTTTAAAGGCTTTGACTAATACACTCTGGAAAGGTTGGGCTTGCAGCTTTGTTGAACCACCAAGTCTTTTGGATTTTGTTAAAAGCAGGCAGGCACATCTAGAGACTGGCTCTATCTCCTTGGCAACACAGCCAAGGAGATAGAGCATTTGTAGAGCCCAATTGAACATTAAATGCCTCATCAAGCTTTGGATTCATTTTGAACAGGTGCTAAATCTGACCAAGTTGACAAAGAGGTTCAGTTCCATCGTAACTACAGGTGTTTATTTAGGTGTTGCTGCCCTGTTCAAAGGAATAACTTCCAGGATCCAATCTTTAGCAGTCTCTGGCGGCATGGGTGGTTCTAGACTGGGGCCAACTGTAGATCTGTACTGAAAAAAGAAACTAAGTATGCATTTGTCAATTTTTCTTAAAGTGGGTGTAATAATAATAACTGAACTTTATTGATCTTAAATTAGAGAAATCTACCTCTGCATTTAACCCATCCCCTTGGGCAGTGGAGGGCTGCCATTGTGCGGCACCCAGGGAGCAGTGCGGAAATAAGGGTGTTGCTCAGGGACCCCGAGTGCAGGCTTTGTCAAACAAACCAGCTACCGGTACTTGTAACCTTCTCAGAGCACAAGCGCACTGCTCTAGCCACTAAGCCAACACTTGATTTATTTCTTTATTGTATTTCTCTTGATTTAAGACAATTTGCAGATGGAATAAAATGTTTTATATTTAAATAATTGAAAAAACATCTCCATTATCTTATTCTCAAGTGCATAACATCTAATTATCTTATTTTAGGAGCGGAAAGACTCATTTGTATGAAAGAACATCTTATCTACCTGCTCAAATTAAAGGCCTGATTTGAGAAATATTTCTTCTTGATTTGATCAGATTTTGCAGAGTAATTCTAAATCAATTTATTACGATGACGTGACAGAGGGAACTGTTTCTGGTTCAACCGTTGGAACTATTTAATATTTTACCCAGACAATTTACTAAAACAATTATATAGACCTTACAGTCAGCTTTAAGCTTTAGACTTACTAAAAGGATCACAGTTTCCGTCTGTTTGATCAGCAGTTTGCAACATTGCATTTGTGACTCATATATACTAAACAATGCACTTTTGTCCTAGTTTTATTTATTTATTTTTTTTTTTTGGAGGTTTGTGTTAATCTTTAGTTCCAAAACACTTGCTAAAGTGCCCTATTGGAAACTAAAGATACCCCCTAAAATGCCCTTTTGGAAGCCAAAGCTGTGCTAGAGTGTCCTCTCGGGAGCTAAAGTGTCCACTGCAGTGGTGAGAACACGTTATATGTGTCTATTTTTTCTGCCCCTGCCCTATGCTCTCACCACTGGTTCAATGGTCAGTTTCTGTTGGGGAAAAATGAACTTCTGCATTTATGTATGAAAATATTTCAGAGCTAAGTATAAGTTCCCTTCCACTTTATGATTATGTATTAATCTCTATGTTGTGATTTCATTTAATGCATCCAAAACACATACTGTGTTCCGTGATTTTGTCTTTAAAGCAACGAAAAGAAAAAAAAAAGGCATCTATGTATGGATATTTGCATTAGATTTAAAATTTCTTCAGGCAATTATTAAATACAATAAAAAAACAAAGATAAAACCTTCAAGACAAACCTTTACCATTGTTTTACAACCAAAACTATAAAACAAAATGTAACCAGTCAGCATTACCATGGCAACTAATGCCCTGAGCAGGGTTTTCTACTTGATGTGGTTGCTTTATAACTGTGATTCTACCATCTGGTACCAATGAAATAAAACATTAAACCCATAAAGAAGAAAATTTACAAAATACAACATGCACAAAAAAAAATCATACCAATCCCCCCAAAGTAAATCATTAAAACGATAAAATAATCGTATTCCTCTGTTAGATAGATGTAACAAGCCACTTGTTTGGGTTGTAGAGTCTGTCTCATGCTACCACAACCGTGAAAGAACCACTAACTCTATAAAGTGACCAAAACATCAGCCAGAGAGCATAGAAGTGATCTGTGGTCCCCACCTCAACACAACAGCATGAAATTGATTGTCAATTAGTCTTTATTACTAAGTGGGCAGTTATATTTCACAGAACTTTGATGTAACTGTAGTTATATTGTGTTGCATGTGTTCCCTTCATTTTTTTTAGCAGTGTAGTTCAGAAGGCCCTGCAGCAAGAGGGTCACTGGATCTAAATCGTCTGTCGAGGATCTTTTTCAGAGGCTCTACATGAAAAATCCTCACACCTTTAAAATTAAAATTTTTAACTGATACCTTCAGGAAACATCATGACTGCTGTGCAACCTTCGATCTCAGGTTGTTTAAATGCTCAACTGTTTTTAAAATGATCTACTTCATGTTGGATTGGATTGGATCCTTTATTTCGAACATGCAAGAGAAAACAAAAAAACAATAAAACAATGTTTAAAAACATTGGAGAGAAAAACAACAAACAAGGTACCCTTCTTTCCTGAGTTAATATACCTCTATTACGTGCGAAAAGGAGTAGGAAGAAGTAAAACTTCTGTGCTCCTACCCCTTTAATTCTTGTATTTCTTCAATTTACAATATTTATAATTATGTTGCTATATATATCCATATAAATACCTACCTACACATATACATACATAAATATGTATACACATATACCTTCATACATATATACAAATAAACAAAACAAAAAACACAAACAAAACTTTCTACAATGCTTCTCTATACCTTTTGAAAATAATTTCTTTGTACATTATTTTGAAAAGAAATATGTTTGGGCATTGTTTTAGGTTCTCATTTAGTTTGTTCCACAATTTAACTCCGCAAATTGATAAACATAATCTTTCCCTTGTTGTTCTACATCTATTAGTCTTAAAATTTCCCCTTCCCCTTAAATCGTACCCTCCCTCCCTTTCAGAGAACATAATTTGTATATTCCCAGGCAATAGGTTATGTCTTACTTTGAACATGAATACTGCAATTTGGTATTCTATTAAATCATGGTATTTTAGCAATTTAGATTTTAGAAATGTTATTGCACTAATTTGTGTAATGTATCTATTTGTGGCGTTTATGTACCTCTAGGCCTAATTTTTAATCTTTTTTTTTTTTTTTTACATTTATCTGTTTATATCTCAGAGAAGCAACATCCCTTTTGGTTTCCTTATACCTTATTCAATATACAGTGAAAGGGAGGTTTTTCTTACTTGGAACAAAATTTACTCTAAATGCCATGCTATATAAAATATAGTTTGTTTAACCCTCTGCATGCTACCATGAACAAAATGTTCAGAAAAACGAAAGAAACGTAAATTTGTGGTAGATCATAAAGGAGCATATAATGGTGACATTATGAACCGTCCTGAAAAACAACCTGAGCGTCTCTCAGTTTGGTAACTGCACCTTGCAGCACGTGCATAGAGGCCCCTCCCCCCGAAATTAGAACACCAACCTCACTGGATGTTTCTTCCCACTTTGACCCGCCTTTACATAAATCTGATTGGTCAGTTTATTCCAGCTGCAATTCGATCATCCGCTATCTTCAGCTGCCATTGGTCAAAACAAAGTACTCGTCTCCTTTAAATATCAAAACCCCGCCTCTAAGTAATATGATTGGACAATAGGTCAACCTCTGAACGTTTTACTTCCTGGTGTTGTGTGTCGTTGTAAAACAGACCTCATAGAGCTGCTGAAAGGGCAACTACCGAGAAAAGACTGGATAACGATAATATTCAATAAAAGTAAGTCGCAAGCAGGGCGTAATGGTTGCAGTATTTTAAGTAGGTTTTTTTTTTTTTTGGATTAACGTTTGTAGCCGTTAGCTTATCGTTTTTAGCATCTTTTAGCTCTGCAGGTTGACTTGAGCTCCTGTAGAAGCTAATAATCGAGCTGAGAGCTTGTTATTCTCCTGAAAGTTTAATTTATTTCTGTTCACAGTCAAATATGTATCACCTAATATGATATAACACGTGGTTCCTTCTGACTCACGTCTATTAGCTTGTTTATTCGGATTATTCCAAGGTTAAATCTGCCACAGGGGCTTACATATTTATGCCAGCGGCCTCTCATTTTAACTATCAAACGATTTTTTTTTTAGTCCCAGTCTAGTTTATGTTGAGTAAAGGTTTGTTTCTGATCTGTTTGGTTATTTGCAAACATCTCAACATGTTTCATTTGTATCTTTCTGCCTCTGAAGTGATGATGTCAGAGGTCCTGCAGGTCCTGCGTGGGGCTGGTAAAGTGGGTTCTGCCCTTATCACGACCCAAGGGGAGCAGCTCAGATTGATGGCCTGCACCTCTTCAGTGGGAGCAGGAGTCAAAGCTGCTCAGGATGTAGCCGAAGGGCTGGTGGCCACCTTTATGGGCAGCACCAATGAGGTGAGTGTAATTAGCTGTTAATGACAGTGGAGCCAATAAAGGTTTCCCCCTCTGCTGCCACTAGGGTTGGGAATTGATAAGATTTTCACGATTCCGATTCCTTTATCGATTCTGTGAAACAATGAACTTGGTAAGTGCACTGTGACATTCATCTACCTTCGCCTGGGACATTCTATTACTGCCTGCCTCTGCGGAAACACAAGGCAGTAAACAGGAGCTGTCATTCTCTGAGCCAGCCAGGCTACCCGTCTCGTCACAGTCATCTAAATCTAATGGAATCTAATCTAATCTTTTTGACGAAAAAGCATTACTGTACAATTTCAGGATATAAACTCATCTCCCTCTAATTTCGATGAACGAGCGTCACCTTTCTCTCACTCCCTGAACTGCAGAGCAACTGCATTGCAATGGCTAGAATAAATGGCATAAATATCAGTAAGCAGAGAATGCATTTGCTTACGGGGCCCCCTACCTTTTGGGGGCCTCATCATTGACACCTGGTTGGCCCCCTATGCAATTGTAGACTAGGACGTCTCTTTGCAGATATAATGGTGCGAAAAATTCCTCTTGAAACCACCTGATACTAAGGTGACCTTATTTATACCAGAACACATGCCAGATTTTAACATGATGCTGCACCGTTTAAACACGACACCAATAGCAAAGCAGACAGTGGTACTTTTAATTACTATGTTATTAACTGTGTATAGTTTATTAGACGGTTGGTAAAAAAAATACACTCATATGATATGTTTCAAACCGCAATAAAGATCTTAAAAGAATGAAGTATTTGAGTATTTAATTTTTTTACATTATGCCTTGGAATTCCTTGTAACCCAGAGCGTAGATTAAAACCATAACCGTTACGTACATATTGTTAGCGACAATGGATACCAAAAAGAGGTACTTTAGCGGATTCCAGAAAAGAAAAAGGAAAGAAGAGCTGCTGGAAGAATGGAAAAAACTTCCCAATATAAAGACGTTCTTTCAAAGAACCAAAGAGGGAGAGATGGACGTTGTTGCTACAGTGAGAAAAGATTGCGACCAGGAGATGAATGGAGAGGAGTCTGGGTGAGGAGGGGCTGTGAAGCTGAAGGTAGCCCTAAACTGCCTCATTTTACAGCAGTTTTTGGAACTTGGGATTTCTGTAACATGTGGTGGTGCGCTTTCACCAGTAGTTCCATTCAAGGTGCGCTGTCACTATTTTTCCGTGTGTGATGTGTGATCATATACTACTGAGAATTTCATAATTGTATCTTCTTGGCCGATTTTATGGAACTGTCACCGTATCCTGAACCTTTATCACATGTTGTACTTCATACGGGGCCCACCCAGATAATGTTGCTTATGGGCCTGTTGTGTCGTTTCACCATTGGCTAGAATCATGTAAAAATTCCAGCTACCATTAGTTTTAATTAAACATGCTACCAATGAAGGGCTGGATTAACACAGTCCCTTAATAACCTAGCCTGACGTAGTTCTTGTCAATTCTAGTCAGAATATGAGTCTGATACTGCTCCATAGAGCTGTGATTATGGGGCGTGTTTCAAACGAACCAGGAAAAAAAATGCCTCTGCACTCAATTGGATAGACCTACAACCAATAAGAGCAACGGAGTGCGTGACGTATNACATATTGTTAGCGACAATGGATACCAAAAAGAGGTACTTTAGCGGATTCCAGAAAAGAAAAAGGAAAGAAGAGCTGCTGGAAGAATGGAAAAAAACTTCCCAAAACAAACATGTTCTTTCAAAGAATCGAAGAGGGAGAGATGGACGTTGCTGCTACAGTGAGTGAAGATTGCGACCAGGAGATGAATGGACAGAGTCTGGATGAGGAGGGGGGCTGTGAAGCTGAAGGTAGCCCTATAAGACTAATTTTAAAGCAGTTTTTGGAACGTAGGATATCTGTAACATGTGGTGGTGCGCTGTCACCAATGGTTCCATTCAAGGTGCGCTGTCACTATTTTTCCGTGTGTGTGTATGTGTGATCATATACTACTGAGAATTGCATAATTGTATCTTCTTGGCTCATTTTATGGAACTGTCACCATATCCTGAACCTTTATCACATGTTGTACTTCATACGGGGCCCACCCAGATAATGTTGCTTACGGGCCTGTTGTGTCGTTACGCCATTGGCTAGAATCCTGTAAGAATTCCAGCTACCAATAGTTCTAATTAAACATGCTACCAATGAAGGGCTGGATTAGCACACTCCCTTAATAACCCCAAAGAGAGGTAGGAAACTGGTTTATTTCCAGAAATGGCATAGGATTTACTAGGAACCACATTAAGCACAACCATTTATATAAAACTAGCTACTTAACACCAGAGTTACCTTCCATGCTGGTCGTAACTTTAGCTTCTGTCCGGAAGATTCGAAAACATGGCATTATGTTGGATGTATTTCCTCCCGTGAATGTAATTTCCACTTTGCAATGATTGCAAAGCGCTTTGTTGCCATCTTTCTCTTCCTTTAAATTAAGCAAAACTTTCGATTGCTGTACCCAATGGGCTGCCATTTTGCTTGTTTCGCTTTTCTTGACTAACGCTGGTCACATCGTAAGTGCTTACTGAATGCTGTGTGCGTAACTTGCTTAAAAAATGTGATGCAAGTCATGCCGCCCAGAGCCCTATAGGCCTTGGTGCTGCCTGGAATCGATAAGAGAATCGTTAAGCGAGCTGGCAAACAGTCCCATCCCTTACTGCCACCGTTTGACTAAATGCTGTCTGTTATATTTTTTGTGTTCGCTTTAGTCTATAAAAGAGGACGTCTTTCCGGACGCAGAGGGCTGGGAGAATGTGGATCCGGACGAGGCAGCCAAATGGGCTGTGGGATCCGAGTTCCCGCCTGGAACTGCAGAGCAAAGCCCAGGAGGAGCAGGACCAACTGCAGGGATGCACACAGGTATTATCACCCCAAACAATGAGGGAATAAACAAAAAGGTTCCTAACAATTTAAATCCCATATTTATTGAGAAAACATGTACCTGCTTGTTTTAAAATTAGTCTCAATCTGTCTTTTTTATTATTATTGCTGTCAAACTCTTTGCATGAAACAAGTGTTCCCTGTATTAACCATTAAATATAAAACTGACCGCCCCATCTCTTGAGTAGATATCCAACTCTGGAAATCCACAAACCACAGGGCACATTTCCTCCTCTCCGTTCTTATGTTTTCAGCTGTATTTCAGATTTATTTGCTAAATTTGTGTGGCACTGGGCCTCCTAGAGGTCTTCTTCCAGTGGTTTTTCTCCTGCTGCCAGTGGGGTTGTTAGTTCTGAAATTTCTTTGTGTGTTTTTATTGAGGCAGAGTGTCTGTGTCTAAACCTAAACTCCTCGACGCTCCTTTTAAATGTCATGCTGGTGTTGCAGGTGCATGTTTAGTGCAGCATGCTCCTTCCTAATCGATATTTGAAAACTGGATCCCCTTTTTCAGTCTGAAATCCTACAGCTGAACAAGCAGGGGAATAAAAGTTAATCCCCTTCATGTTTCTGTCCTGTCAACTCTGATGTTTGCTTCCTGATCCAGGCTCTGCTCAAGGTGGGACAGGCTGGCCAGGACAGAACGCCCGCTTTCTGCACACCGTCCACAGCCGTCAGCTCTTCTACTGCCAGAGCAGGTCTATCCATGACACAGTTGTGGCCAAACTGACTCCAGAGGACATAAAGAAAGCCAGGGAGGCTAAGCAGGCCATGGTTAAACCAGTCAGACAGAAGGTTAGTTTATAACTGCCGAAACTGTAGATTACTTTCACGTTGTGCTGCTCTTTATGTGTCAATAAAAGACAATAAAATGCTCCTATTACGGGGCGGGTATTTAAACCTAGATGTCGGTACGGCTGTCATTAAATTCTATTCATAATGTTAGATGTACAGTTTTATTCGATAGAACCGTGTTTGCATTTCTGCATGTTGATGGATTGATTGACTTTATTGATCTCAAAGTGGAGAAATTTACTTTTTTACATCTGCTCAAATTGTCAAAAAGAGAAGAAGGTGCCAAAGGAAGAAAAAGGTGCATGGGATATATACAGTATATACAGTGAGTCCACATATGACAGCCTTTTTTTATAGTAGGGTCATTATGCAGGGTTATTGCACAGGGGTGTTTACATCGGTATTTATATAGATGGATATTTACTTGTTGGTCCTGCATTGTTGCTTTTTTAACCACAATTACATCATTTGATGACTTGTTTTCCCCGCCTTCTTTAGCTGAGTGAGCGTGCCAAAGAGAGGAAGGTTCCTTCCACCAGAATCAGCCGCCTCGTTAATTTTGGTGGTGAGTTTAACTTCTTTGGTGTTATTTTATAGTTTATGTCAAGTTCATAGAAAAGAATGAAAAAGTAATTTGCTCTTCGTTTCCCTTTTCTGAATTTCCATTACAATATCAAGAAGGTGTTTGCATAAACAAATCAACATACTATTAAGTTGAAAAACGATTCATATTTGAAGATTGAATTCTTGATCATGACATCCGTACTTTTAGTACTAAACAAATTTTCTCAAGCAATGCTGATATGTAAATGTTATGCAGTTCAATTTTTATGTGCAAATTAAAATATAGTGCACACAAACTCTTTCGTGTGTGCCGTGATGGAGACGGGGATCATATTGTTATGACCAGACAGTGCAAAATACTGGTTGGAGGATGAAAAGCGATTAATCCAACCTGAAATTGAAGCCCAGTTATTTATTTATTTATTTATTTTTAAACATTTTCTTTAATCCCCTTCCCCCAAAAAATCAACACATTGGCATATTGGGCTGTCAGAAATAATAATAGAGCAGCATTCGTAGTGGTGAAATGACATCTTTGCAGGCTGGCACAGAATCGTTCACACAGCAGGTCTTGTTGCTCAATTCCAGAAATTATTTTAACTGAAATCTGATGTTTTTGTTGTGGCCTTTTATACTATAAATTAAATTTTACTGCTATCGGACTTCAGTCTGAAAGGTTCAGCACATCAAAACGACCTGGAAAGAACAGCGACAGAGGCGTACAGCATCAGATCTCTGTTCACAAAAGTAATGACCAACAGGTCTGTCTCTAAATGTGTTCAATGAAGCTTTGTTAAAAAAATTCCAATATAAGTTTCTGATTTTTCCATATCATTATTATTAAGCTCTTGAGCAAAAGTGGCTGACGGTGTCATGACCACATTATTAACAAAGATGGAAGGTAAGAAAAAAACAGCAGAACTGTTGACATAAAACAGAAATGTTTCTGTAGATGACAGTTGGAGCCCTGGAAATAAAAAAAATGGATAAAATTCAGCTTAACTGTTCAAACTGCAGACATTTTGGTAACTATCTGATTCGTTCTGGTTTAGTGATACATATTGATGGGGCTTAAATCGGCTTTGTTGGGAGGAACTGGACTGTGCAAAGTCACAAACGGGGCCAAAATGATTGGATTGGGGTGGCATTTCCCTGCAATGTGAATGTAGCCTGAGTCTGCTTTTCAAGGTTTTATGAATGATATTTAATCTTAATATACTCTACCGTTCAAAAGTTTGGGGTCACATTGAAATGTCCTTATTTTTGAAGGGAAAGCTCTGTACTTTTCAATGAAGATAACTTTAAACTAGTCTTAACTTTAAAGAAATACACTCTATTCATTGCTGATGTGGTAAATGTCTATTCCAGCTGCAAATGTCTTGTTTTGGGTGCAATATCTACATAGATGTATAGAGGCCCATTTCCAGCAACTATCACTCCAGTGTTCTAATGGTACCATGTGTTTGCTCATTGGCTCAGAAGGCTAATTGATGATTAGAAAACACATCTGAAAACAGTTTAGCTCGTTACAGAAGCTACAAAACTGACCTTCCTTTGAGCAGATTGAGTTTCTGGAGCATCACATTTGTGGGGTCAATTAAACGCTCAAAATGGCCAGAAAACGAGAACTTTCATCTGAAACTCGACAGTCTATTCTTGTTCTTAGAAATGAAGGCTATTCCATGCGAGAAATTGATAAGAAATTAAAGATTTCCTACAACGGTGTGTACTACTCCCTTCAGAGGACAGCACAAACAGGCTCTAACCAGAGTAGAAAAAGAAGTGGGAGGCCGCGTTGCACAACTGAGCGAGAAGATGAGTACTTTAGAGTCTCTAGTTTGAGAAGCAGACGCCTCACAAGTCCCCAACTGGCATCTTCATTAAATAGTACCCACAGTAGCTTGTTTTCAGATGTGTGAACATGTTTGCACAAGGGTTTTCTAATCATCAATTAGCCTTCTGAGTCTATGAGCAAACACATTGTACCATTAGAACACTGGAGTGATAGTTGCTGGAAATGGGCCTCTATACACCGATGTAGATATTGCACCAAAAAAACAGAAATTTGCAGCTAGAATAGTTTGTTTTTTTTGTTTTTGTTTTTTACAATTGTTTAGACACTGAGATATTTATGTAAAACACACTTAAGTTATATTATATTCATCCTTAACTTATTTTTTTTTTTGTCCATCCCAGCCTCTTTGAAACTATCCGTAGAACACCTAACCTTTTTTTTCCCTCACATATTTGTTTTGCTTCTTATTAGATTTATTTAAAGATCAGCCCCACTGTCTGCTCAGTGACTCACATCATAATCTTTATTCTCATAGACAAAGTGCCGCTCTTCCTCCCAATAATTTAATTCAAAAATACTTTATTGTTCCTGAAGGGAAATCAAATGATGTAACTCTTATAGAGATTTTTTTTAATGAGTTGTTGTGGATGTTATGAGCAACTGTTTGCAAATGGTAACGATAACAAAATGAAATTAAAAAAACATTGCAAACGGTAAAGAAATCTGCATCAACCCTTCAGACAGAAAGATTAGTGCTTTCCTAAACCTTTTTAGATAATTTATTTATTGATTCCTTCTGTGGTGCAGGACTGGCAGTTGGTCTGGGTATTGGTGCCATTGCAGAGGTGGCCAAACAGTCTCTAGGAGGGAAACAAAAAGGAGGTAAATACGTCTTCTCTTTTTTTAAAGGACATTTTTAGAGATTCAGATGATTAATGGGAAGCTGCTCTGAGGAGTTTGGCTAGTTTTGCATCCAGTAGCAGGATTTCAGAGCTTAGTTCTGTTAGCGCCACAGCTTTCTGACATTTTTCTAATTATGTCTCACAGTATTGTTTGTCTTTGTCAATGTGTTTTCTGCAGACGTAAGTGCCCTGATGGACTCGCCCTTCCTGTCGGAGGCCAACGCTGAGAGAATCGTCAACACGCTGTGTAAGGTCCGGGGAGCCGCTCTGAAGATCGGCCAGATGCTGAGCATACAAGGTAGCCGCCGTAACCATCAGCTCAAACGTTCCTCACTGAGAGTCGTTTTCCAACATCTCCTATTTTCTTTGTCGTAGACAACTCCTTCATTAACCCTCAGCTGCAGAAGATATTTGAGAGAGTCCGGCAGAGCGCAGACTTCATGCCCGCGTGGCAAATGAACGTGAGTCCCGTCTGCCTTAGGGGGCAAGTCTACAGCGACTGATGGATCTCAGAAAAAGTCATACTGTGTGTTTTTGCCCGAGCAGAAAGTCCTGGAGGAGGAACTCGGCCCCGGATGGAGGGAGAAGCTCTCATCGTTTGAAGACAAGCCGTTTGCTGCGGCGTCAATTGGACAGGTGCATCATGGGGTGCTGAAGGACGGAAGAGAGATTGCTATGAAGATCCAGGTAAAACGGTTCACACACACAGGAACGGTTTCCCCTCCTCTGTTTACCTTATAGACGCCCTTTTTCTTCTCATATCCATCCCAGTACCCTGGAGTAGCAGAGAGCATCCAAAGCGACATAGACAACCTGATGTCGGTGCTGAGGATGAGCGTAGCGCTTCCAGAAGGTACGAGCGTCACTACAACCCAATAAATCTTTAGTGATGCGTTCAGTGCAGCATAGAAGCCTAAGAAAACAGAAACAGAAACAATTATTTAAGGTAAGAGTGGAAAAGGTTCAAAAAGTGCTAAAAGGAAATTCTTATGTGTCCATAAGCGATGTGCTTAAATCAGGATGTCATTTAACAGGTTTTCATAACTACAGATTATTAAAGAGGCACCCAGGTGCTTTAAAAAGAAAAATATTAAAGGATATAGAAATAAATGGTGCAACAAAAAAAAATCATATTTTCTTGTCATGATCAACAATTTTTCAGATTTCCCCAAATACTCCCTTTATAGATTTTTAATTAAAGTTTTTTTTTCACCTATGCTAAAACTGTTTTAAATATTTTCCTTCAACTTTTTAATAACTGGAGCGTTTTTCTTTTACTGGCCTTTGAAGCGGTAGTGCTTCATGTCCCAGAAAGGGGTTATTTTTAGTTAATTTTCTTTAGCCGGGCTTTTCGAGACGAACAAAACCATTTTAAAACACATATTTATGTCTTTTAGAGTTCCACATTCTGCAGGGATTACACACTAAAATGCCTTTTCTTATAACAGCAACTATATTCATGTAAAGTCTTGGCTTCTTTAGACTCTCAATTTCTTCAGCAGCTTGAAGAAAATATATTTAAAAATATTTTTTTAGATGTGAGTTTATGAGTAATTGCTAATAAATGTCAAGGATAATAGTTAAAGGTACAGTGAAGGATGTTCTTTTCATCGTTTCCTCAAAATAAGTGGTCCTTTTAATTGTCAGTCATTCTGGTGATATGTTTACATAAGGCCGTCCTATGTGCTCGTCCCCATTTTCACTCACCGGTGGTGAGTCTGACATAGTGGAAAAATTGCAAATCTTCTTTTGGAAAGTAAGCTTGTATCAGTAATGCAAACAGCCACTTTTAAACAGAGCGTGCACGAGGAGAAATGGGCTCGTGCATGCACGCTCTCACACCTGTTAAATAGGTGTCCCTCTCAGGAGCGGCTACAGGGTCATGCATGTGCATATATTTTTTTTTGAGTGGAGAGGACAGGTCTTTTCAAAAATTCACGAAAATCCTCAATTATACCTTCAAAGTCCTAAACCTAAACATTTTTGCAGTTTGTTGCCTTAGCATTTGTTTTTTTTTTTTTTGCAGCAAAAAGCACCCTGTAAGCACTAGTAATAAAACTTAGAGATTGGGTCACCAGCAGTAGTAGTGCAGCCAGTTGCTCTGATACAGATACTTTGAAAACACCTGGTCAGAGGTCTGAGCTGATACACAAGTTGAGAGTGTGAGTCTTTTCAAAAATTTGCAAAAATCCTCCACTATACCTTTTAAAAAGTTAGCAAAGTTAAACCCTTTAATTAAGCTTGTAAAGTTAAACCAAGTAAAAATAATAAACTACAGAAAATAAATGGATATAATGAGAATATAAGAATGACCTGAAACTAATAAGTAATAAAAATTTAAAATAACAATGAGAACATAAAATAAAAATGATTTTCCAAATAAATATAACATTTCAGACAAATGCTTGTTAAAGTAGAGATAATCAGCCGTAACACTGATGGGCTGGACCTTAGTGGTGAAAAATGAATCCCAGATGGGCTGACAGATGGATTTTGCTGATGACAAAGAAAGAAAGTCCAACATTTACTCATTTTCAGTTGCTTTAATCCGAATATAAAAGCATTTCGGAGCCTGGAGGCTTAATATCGCAGATCGCAGAGCGAGCTATGAGGGTGGATGCTGTTTTAGCGTTAGCAGAGCATTAGCTTTAGCTGCTGGAACAACAAACANATAAACTACAGAAAATAAATGGATATAATGAGAATATAAGAATGACCTGAAACTAATAAGTAATAAAAATTTAAAATAACAATGAGAACATAAAATAAAAATGATTTTCCAAATAAATATAACATTTCAGACAAATGCTTGTTAAAGTAGAGATAATCAGCCGTAACACTGATGGGCTGGACCTTAGTGGTGAAAAATGAATCCCAGATGGGCTGACAGATGGATTTTGCTGATGACAAAGAAAGAAAGTCCAACATTTACTCATTTTCAGTTGCTTTAATCCGAATATAAAAGCATTTCGGAGCCTGGAGGCTTAATATCGCAGATCGCAGAGCGAGCTATGAGGGTGGATGCTGTTTTAGCGTTAGCAGAGCATTAGCTTTAGCTGCTGGAACAACAAACAACAAACCTCAACCAACATCAACCATCTCACCACTCTTATATTAGTTAATGTGTGTGTTTTTGAAAGATTTTGGTATTTTTAGAAGGAAAAAAATTATATAAAAGCTCAGATCTTATGCTTAAATAGAATTAACTTGATATCATTATTAAAGAATTTGGTAAATATGTACAGAATTTTTTTTTAAGTTAAAATAAACAATTTTTATTTGCAATATTAGAAAAATATATAGTTCTGTTTGTATTGTATTGAATTAAACCTTTCAATGTTTATAGAATGGTCTGCATAGATTCAATCAGCAGAGATTTAGATGTTAGTGGATAAGAAAAGGCCCAACATGGTTAAGTTAGTTAAAGTTTAGTCATTTGAACCGACTTTAATGCGAGAATAACTACAACAGACCTAAAAATCTAAACCATTCAGTAGATTGTCGATTACAGTAGCTTCATTTTCTTGGCTTTAGCTTAGCAAGTGAAGTGTAATGAAAAAATATAATAATTGAATGTAGAAAGTTTTAGAAATTGATGCATTTTGTTGCATTTTCTTTATTCCTTATAACTGTATTTCAAAAGTACATATTTGCTCAGTAGGAGCTACATTATCAAGTGTAAATGCTCTTATTAAGTCATATTAATGGCAAAAGAAAACAGCTTTTGAATTCTTTTAGTACCGTTTAATATATTTTTAGAGATATTCCTGCTTGTTCCAGTAGTGCAGGAGGTACATCCTGCCAAAATACAGAACTAACAGGCTGTAACATTTATTTATTTGTACTGCCATTTCTCTCGTACGTAATGGATTGCCAGGGCTGCTCAGTGGAGCAGTGGGTAGCACTGCTACCTTGCAGCAAGAAGGTTCCGGGTTTGATTCCCGGCCCGGGGTCTTTCTGCATGGAGTTTGCATGTTCTCCCTGAGCATGTGTGGTTTCTCTCCGGGTACACCGGCTTCCTCCCACAGTCCCACAGACTGTTGGGTTAATTGGCTTCTCTAGATTCTCTTTAGGTGTGTGTGAATGGTTGCGGCAACATAGAGACAGGTCACCTGCCCTGGGCTGGTGACCTGTCCAGGGTGTACCCTGCCTCTCGCCCGTAGACAGCTGGAGATAGGCACCAGCACCCCTCGCGACCCCGCTTGGTATTAAGCGTGTAAGAGGATGGATGGGTGGATGTATAAGGGATTGTCATGCTTTTTTTAATTATTATTTATCAATTATTTGAACGATTGTTGTTACGTTTTTGTAGAACTTCTTGCTGTGCAACCAAATTGCAATATGAGGACAAGTAAGACTTCTTGAATTTCCATTTTAATCTTTTGATTTTCAATTATTGTCACTATCCCAGTTGACCACACAGTGGTGCTGTTCCCTCTAACTGCAAAAAAGGGGAAAATAGACAACTGGAATTATTTGCCTGTTTTCACCTTTATTTGCAGTGAGAGGGAACCAAATGTTGAAATGTTAGGATTTCCATCTTGCAAGTTGAAGTTTATACTTTAATGAAACAGCTTTTTTTTTTTTTTACCTGGTTTTCTTTGATAACTTGCATCCTTTTTAAATGTGTCCTGTTTTTCCCTACAGCTCCACATGTTGCTCCTTGTTTAATAAAAGAGTGAATGAATTTGTTTTGGTTTGTTGTTTCATGCTGAGCTTTGCTCTGTTTTTCCGCAGGTCTGTTTGCAGACAGCAGCTTGGAGGTTCTGCAGAGAGAACTGGGCTGGGAGTGCGACTATAAGAGGGAAGCCGAGTGCGCCAAGAAGTTCCGGT